TATTTGCAGATGATATGATAATATACATAGAGAACCCCAAAAACTCCACAGAAAAATTAATTCAACTCATCAATCAGTTCAGTAAAGTGGCAGGATACAAAATCAACACACACAAGTCAGTAGACTTCCTATACACAAACAATAAATCTGAAGAAGAAGAAATTAAAAAAAAATCCCTTTTATTATCAAAACAAAAAAAAATCAAATACTTGGGAATAAATCTAACAAAAGAGGTAAAGTACCTATACAAAGAAAACTATAAAACACTGTTAAAAGAAATAGAAGAAGACACAAAGAAATGGAAAGACATCCCTTGCTCATGGATTGGAAGAATAAACATTATTAAAATGGTCATCCTACCAAAAGCAATATACAGATTAAATGCTATTCCAATAAAAATTTCAATGTCATATTCTTCAAAGAAATAGAACAATTATTGATGAAATTCATATGGAATCACCAAAAACCCTGAATAGCCAAAGCTCTCCTGAAAAAAAAAAAAGAAGGGAATGGAGGCATCACACTCCCAGACTTCAAACTATACTACAAAGCCATAATCATCAAAACTGCATGGTATTAGAACAACAGCAGACACAAAGACCAATGGAATTGAATAGAAAATCCAGAAATAAACCCACAGATTTATGGTCAACTAATCTTTGGCAAAGGAGAAAAGACTATGCATTGGAGCAAAGAAAGTTTGTTCAATAAATGGTGCTGGGTAAACTGGGTCGCTACATGCAAAAGAATGAAGCTTGACCACTACCTCACACCATACACAAAAACCAACTCAAAATGGATTAAAGAACTAGACATAAGACCCAAAACTATAAAATACATAGAAGGAAATATAGGCGAAACACTATGTGATAGGCACATCAAAGACATCTTTACAGACACATCACCCAAAGCAGTGATAGTGAAGGCAAAGATCAACAGCTGGGACTACATCAAATTAAAGAGCTTCTGCACAGCAAAAGAGACAATAACAAAAACAAAGAGAAACCCCACTGACTGGGAGAACATTTTTGCACACAACACTAATGATAAAAGACTGATTACAAAAATCTGCAAAGAGCTGATGAGACTCAACACAAAGAAAATAATCCTGTCAAAAAATGGGCAGAAGAGCTAAAAAGAAACTTCTCTGAAGAGGAAATGCAAATGGCCAACAGGCATATGAAAAAATGTTCAACATCACTTGTAATCAGCGAAATGCAAATCAAAACTACCATGAGGTACCATCTCACAGCAGTGAGAATGGCACATAAAAAAAAAAAAAAAACTAGCAACAATAAATGTTGGCGAGGATGTGGAGAAAAAGGAACTCTCCTGCACTGTTGGTGGGAGTGCAAACTGCACTATGGAGAGCTGTGTGGAGATGTCTTGACCTACTAAACATAGAGCTTCCATATGATCCAGCAATTCCACTCCTAGGTATTTACCCAAAGGACACAGAAACATCAATTCCACAGAGCACCTGTATCCCTATGTTTATAGCAGCACTATTTACAATAGCTAAGCTTTGGAAACAACCCAAATGCCCAAAAATAGATGACTGGATCAAGAAGATGTGGTACATATACACCATGGAATATTACTCAGCATTCAAAAAAGATAAACACATGCAATTTGTAGCAACATGGATGGCGCTGGAAGGGATCATGCTCAGCAAAATAAGCCAGAAAGAAAAAGAAAAATACCGGATGGTCTCACTCATAGCAGGAATCTAGAAAACTTAAATAAGGGACCAGGAAAAAGAATAACTATAAGAAAGTGAAAATCAAAATCAACAAACAACTATGAACCAGAGACACTCTATGGATGGTGAGGGTCGGGGAGGGGAGGGATTGGGGTCAAAATAAGGAGGTTGCAATTGTATGGGGAATATAAAAATTAAATTTATTAAAAAAAAAAAAGATGATATGCAGGCTGTACCTGGCAGACATCAGCACCAATCAGCACATAGCAAATCGCTCCCAGCCCACACTTTCTCCTCTTTACTGATTCAGCACAATTGATATTATGTGTTCTCCCTCTGTTAAGGCATAGAAGAGAAAAAAATGCCTGAAAAACAATATCATGGCTGTAATGACAACTGGGGTTGTATTTATTATTTTTTTAAAGTTTTATTTATTTATGCATACAAGAGCTAGGGTACAGGCCAGAGATGCAGGGTGGGGGGTGAGAAGATTCACCAGAGACAGATTGGGGAACAGAACAGGCAGACTGAGTGAAATACACTGCTGAGGGGAGCAGTGGGTGAGTCAGGAGAGGTCTGCTGCGCCATGTGGGTTGCTCCCTGGTGGGCCTGGGATGGAACTTGTGCTACAGACGCTTCAGATTGCTTCATAGTGCAGTGCTTAACCCCTTGCACCACCAGGGAGGCCCCTGGGATTGTATTTAGAGGAGTGTTGTTTACATCTCTAAGCAAGTGGATTTTTTATTTTTCAAGAGATTAGAAAAATTTCAAATACTGCATAGAGAACACAGAATTCTAGGAATCTGTTGTCCCCTTGCAATATCAGTAGGGTACTAGTTCTGGGCAGAAAGTAAACACCTCTGCTTCTGTTCAGCTTACTTTTCCTTGTGTAGCACCCTAGGCAAAGAGTGGTTCAGGGAAGAATTATGATACTAAGAGTTGCTATAACAACAATTTTTGGCCAAAATATGAGGCACTCTGCAGGAGTCAGAATAGACTCTTACAGACATTCTGACTTCTGCTCCTGGCTCATTCCAAGTTGCCTGTGAAGGGGGCTGGCTGGAGAATACAATAGCTAAGGAAACAGAAGGATTTTGAAAATTGCTAAGCTTATCACACACACAGAATTCCAATGACCTGTGTTTCAGATTTTCTGAAGATTCCGCTATGAGGGAACAAAATGATGCCCTTTACCATTTACAGGACTGTTAGAATCTGCTTCATGGAGTTGATATTTTTTCCCAGGTAATGAATATTTCAGGGATTGTACTGTCTGGTGCTTACAAATTATAAGTCTGTCACCTGAGAAAATGTAGGGACTAAAACTTCAGATTGAGAGAGAATATACATAAGAGAAATGGCCAGGACCTCCCTGGTGGTGCAGGCAGTTGAGCGTTGTACTGTGAGGCTGTCTGCAGCCTCTGCAGCGCAGGTTCGATCCTGGCTGGCTAGGGAGATTCCCACATGACGTAGCAGACCTCTCCTGTCTCGCCCACTGCTCCCCTCAGCAGTGTATTTCCTCAGTCTGCCTGTTCTGCTCCCCACTCTGTCTCTGGTGAATATTCTCACCCTCCTATGCATCTGGCCTGTACCCCGCTTCTTGTATAAATATATAAATCTTTAAAAAAAGAAAAAAAAAAGAAAAATGGCCAGACCGTAGATGGCAATTAATCCCAACTTCCACAGCATCCTGACTAGGCAGTCAAAGCACAACCTTGACAGCAATCAGCCTAGAATGGGTAGAACTTGAGTAATAATTTATAGCTCCCCTACTTTTGTTCCTGTGTCATAAACAGGACCAACCACAGAAAGCCAAATACGCACCCTAAAACAATGACATAAGATGTTCTGCATCTAAGTAGCCCAAATCCACCATCTCCGTGCCAATAAACTCCAGTCAGAGCACTCCTAAAGCCATCTCTTTTTAACTGAATAACTTTTCCACTCTCCTCCTGCTTCTGAGTCTCTGCCAAAAATAAGTGATGGTAAATAACTCCTTTGGTAGAGTAAAACTAAATAAATAGCCTTTGTTCTCACTTGGGTGATTTTCTCTTATTTCCATATAATTTACAAGTTTGTTTCTATTATATTCTGTACTAACAAGATCATATTCCATGAATTTCAATGCTAAGGACTATGGAAACTTAGCCAATGTAATACCAACTTGAGGCCTCTGGGAGACCCAAAAAACTATGTAAAATTTGCTAGAAGCAAACTTGCGTACTGACCAAACACATCTCCTACTAACCTCCTTCCACTTCCTGGCTCCAAACATAACAAAGAATTAATTGCAGTTATAGAACTTCTACCTTTTAGCACTGATAGTTCCCACACCCCAGGAAACCCCTCGGTCCCAGGAAAGCTGGGATGGTTGGTGATCTTCTAAGACACTTCAGCATACCATGCCCTTCTGTGGCTCGGCTCAGGAATTGTGAATGCAGTTCTCTCTTCCAGTCATCTCTTCTCTTACCACTGACAGGTTACCAACAGCGTGAACTCCTCTCAACTCTCTCATGCCCCTTCCTAAGTGCCCGCTCCTGGGTAAAGCCTCTGTGACAACTGCGTGACCTCCAATCGCAAGCCAGGTCGATCATTCTCTCATCCATGCCAGACTATATAGAGTCTTTCTGCATTTTTTAATATTTTTTTTCATTTTTTACATCATTGTTCATTTTTAAATAATATTTGCTTCCCCCACCCCCTCAGGTGTAGTCCCCATAGAGTTTCCTTCACCAATGCACCCGTGCACCATCACCTCAGTCCCCTGTGCTCCCCCCTCCCTCCCTCTGCTCCCTCTCCCTCCATCTCCCCTGCAGGATATCTCTGATTTATAATTGTCTGTTTTTGCTTTGTTGTGTTTTTTACTGTTGTTATTTTTTACACTGATGTCTACATTTTTATACATATCAACGTGGCAAGAGATCATTTGACTATGGCAGTTAGACCCTCTTAAACAATAGATTTTGCAGGCAGGTGCTACATTGTATTTATTTCCATGTCCCCTTCCTGTCATCATCACACCAAATCCATATTTGCCTATTTCATGAGTAAATTAATTCATGAGTGATTAAATTATTTAGATAAAGTAATTATATTATTTTATTAGTATAGTTATTATTTATAACTGAATTACTGAATATTAACGAATGATTTATTAATGAATTGATCTTTGTAAAAATGTCCCAAAGCTCTAGAGTGAGCTGAAAGGAAAGCTTATTTATATGTGTATCTTGAAGCTGGGCACCTTAGTAGAATTGCATTCATTATTCCATTTCAATTACCCAGGTGACTTAACTACCTCAATCTGGGTGGTGTTGTCCTGCCCATCATCCAATAGGTCTGTGAAGCCTCGAGGCTCTGGGGAGTCTTGACCCATGCTTGCTCGGTTTGTGTCGACTGCCTTAAGAGAATCTGAGTTCCTTTTCCACCGGTGGCTGAAAGCATATGTGTCTACTTCCACTTCCTCTTCTGTTTGAGGGAAGATGTGAGCAACTTGATATCGCCAATCTGTTTAAAAATAGAATAAAAATGGTGAGTTTCTACTAGCTATAAAACACATGTATTCTATCTACAAAGCAGAAAATAAAATTCTGCTAGTCATTAAACAGAAACTAACTCAAAACAATGAAATATGTTTAACTCTACTATTTTGAATTAGTATGAACATCTCTAAGTAGAATGCAAATTGAGGGCACACCACAAGTTGTGACAATGGTTAAAGCTTAGATCCTGCAGAATCCCTAAAACAGATGCACGCCCCTAAAGCAATGCATTTTTATTTCCTTCCCTCCCTGCCTTCCACACACACTTCATAAACATTCTCTAGTTGTTCTGAGAAAACATGCTCCAATACAAACAAAGAAATGAAACCAAATAATGTTCAGCATATATGAAAATAAAAGTCAGACATTATTAACTGTGTTCTTACAGTCATTTCACATGAGTTGTCATGGACAGCAAAGAGACAACAATCTAAACAGGTTAAATAATAAATGGAATGATCTTTGTGTAAATGTGCTAATCTACCTTCCAGCTCACAAGTCAGATTTGGTTCATTGCCTACCTCATTTAATAAGCAACACCTCAGGAGGCATCACAAATGCTCTTGTTCATTTATGCTGTTCTCACCTTGGAATCTTGTCAGGGCAGTAAAGGATGACAGTGATAGGCACTTAGAGAAATGGATGGGAAGGCAAAAAGATCAAATCACAGAGGTATTTTAAAGCCATCTGCAGGGACTGGCCTTGCTGACCCAGCTCATCCTGCTACTACAGGAGGGAAAATTAGATTTAATCATTACTCCTAGTCTTTCATTTCAGTAGGTCAGCAGGGGAAGGTATACCACATATACGGGAAATTCAGTTTCTGATCAAGAAGAACATCCCTCTTCTATGCAACTATTACTAAAAGATATGAATTGACAGTATTTATAACTGGCAGGATATGGGTTCAAAAAGGGCTAAGAGAGCCAATGATTTGATTATAGTTGTGATGTTCCCTTCAATGCAAGAACATTAAAAAATCAAAGTATATTTAATGCAGTTAATAATATTCTTACATCAGCTATTTCAGACAACTAGTTAGGGCTACCCATACTGGCCAGTGAAAATGGTCTAAAATATCTCCCTTTCAGAAAGTTGCAATAATTCTTCTAGACAAAATTCAGGTGTTTACCATGAACTTAAAAAGATCTCCCACTGCCTAGTGCCTTAATGAATACAACCTAGAAAGAAACACTACTGCAGAGTCTTCAATCTAGACCTTTCCAAGAGCTCATATTATGGCTTAAAAGAACTATGATGGAAGCGGCCAAGAAATTCAGAGAGAAACCTAATAAGCAGAAAATTATAGTACATGAATTCTATGAATTCATCAAATTATTGTAGGGTTGAAAAAATTATACACGTAAAGGGTTGATCATGGTCTTCTGTCCCTCCATATAGTAAATATCTAGTAAGCATGGTTAATGAGTATTGTCATTTTCACTATATAAAATGTTTCTTTTTTGACACTCTATTCTCTACCACGAATAGTGATCATAAATGTTTGTTGACTGACTGAGTAAATAAATGACTGAATTAATTGTGGACAGTCAGTTTGGAGCAAGAATGATAAGAATAGGAAGAACTCAGTAATGGAAGAAACTATGTACATGACCTCATCTGGAAATCATTCTTGGATATGCTTGATATGGCTCTAAAATAATTTACAAAACTTATTGCATTTTAGTTACCCTATATTTTAAATAGGAATGAAAATATCACCTGCAAAAGCAGATAGTTTTTCCTGAGGAGGTGTCAGGCTCTAAGACCTATGATTCTAGGTAAAGCTACATAAAAAAAATTATTTGCTTTATATATATATATATATATACACACACACACACACACACACACACACACACCCTGACTCCTTACCAAAAATATATGAGGTAGCTTACAACAAAACTAGGCAATGAAGTTGTCTAACAAGTCGGTAAGACCTCCTAGCATAACACTTAGGTCAACTTTCAATATGTTCATCTACCATGGTGGTGGTCATCTGAATACAAATAATTAAGTAGGAACAATTAAAAATCTATACAGGACCCTTATTAGAATATTAATCTAGAAAATGAATGGAACAAATATATGTAGTTAATGGATTAGATGATTTAGTTATAAAAATGACTTTAAAAATAATTTTACTAAGGGAATATCTTCAATGAAAGGTTTGTCAGTCCTCTATCATGTAAATCAGGAAAAATATACCTAATGCTTAGTCTTTATTAAAATCTTCAAAACAAAAAAAATAAAATAAAATAAAATAAAATCTTCAAAACAGAATTTCAAAGCAACTTGTTTTCTTTAAAATAGGTGCTAATTATCCCTTCCTTGGTTTAACATTACCATTTTCTTTTTAAGTATTGATAACCAAGTTAAATTACAGGTTTTCCATGATGCCATTTAGACCAATAACATCATACCAGCCCTTTGCAGTCCTGGCGCAGGGCAGGGAGTAGATGAAATAACTAACATGAAAAGAGCATTTTCCTGGGAACTCTAATTCTCAGGGTTTTTGAGTGCCCTTTCTTGCTTCCTTCCTGCCACACTACTCTAAAGAACAAATGAAAAGGAACTTCAGAACTCAGGGATGATAAACTCCATGTTCTCCGCTGCTAAGGTAACTAAACAAGGATGCCTTTAGAGAGGTGATTCTGACACCTTAGTAACCCACACAAGCAAACCAAAACCTCAAGCTATAAATGTCTTGAGGTTAAGAAATCAAAACCTGAGGCCAAATAATCACAAACAGCCAATTAGGTTTTTCTGAATAGGGTGAAGATTAAGCTGCAGCCAATCAAGTAGCTGCTTTGCTCTCTTCTACCTCTTCTGCATAAAAGTTTCTTCTCTGATTCCTTCCCATGGAACACTGCTAAACACTTTTGGTTTTTAATTTCTTGATTCAAATCAATTTTGTTGAGATAAACTCTTGAAAGGTTCAATGTGCCTCGGTTTACTTTGTAAGACCACTTAAGTTGAAATTTTGTGACTTTGATTAATGTGTCAAGCTCTTGTCTTTGTAGTAAACAAACATACAGCTGCTCCTTGAGCAGGATTATTGGGGAAGGTAAACTGGACAATACAAAATAAGCACAAATGCTTAGAGCAACACTCATGAGGGTAAATTCCCAGATAGCTGTGTATTTCTGATGGTTCGATTTTGGTTTTCTTTTCATTTTTCAACAGTTTTATGATTTTTTTCATTCTTGCTTTGTAAACCAATCACTTGATCACTGGCTTCCTCCAATTGCATTTAGAGAGTAAACAAGATACAACAAATGACCTAAGGGGGTTTTCTTCTCAAATTTTATTGATTTTCCAATCATTTCCATAACTTTATTTTGGGGTATACAAACCTCCACATGCACACATGCCTCATGAGAGGTTTCCTAATGAGAAAATATGTGAACTTTAGGGCCTGACTTTGGAGAATTTTTTGGGGGTTATTTTAAATTTAAATTGCTTTCTCTGGTATGATACAAAAAGTAAGAGCACCCAGTGGCACATAGAAGAAACGCTACTGTATGTTCATAATTCAACAGCATGTGACACATCAGGATAGAGGTATGAAATTAGTTTAGATGTTGATTTCACTTCAGAATAGGCCTTGGAGAAAATAAAAGAAGTCAAAGATGAATATTTAACAGAAATAAAGATTGAGGAAAAATTGGCAAACCACAGCCTGATCATCTACTACATTGTAAATTACACCGATGGACTTCATGGGCTTTCTCAATCATAAAATATTTATTATTGAAACCATTACCAAAATTAACCATTCAGAAACACTACAAAGGGGTAAATGTGATGTATTTTTTCCCTTATCATTTGTAATGAAGACAAAAGCAGCATGAGGGATCTTTGAATAGTCAGGTTGAACAGATTATCTGTTTTCTGTCCACTGCATGTTAATTAACCCACCAATAGAAAACCTTGAAAGATAATTTTCTCCAACATATTTTTCTCTAGTTGTTAATCACATAGCTCATGAAAATATCAAACACATCTAATGACTCCCACTTGGTATAAAGAAAGACAGCTGAAAGACATAGTTCTGTACCTACAATATACAAATTGCTCTTAACATGTTCCTAAGTATAGTGTTCAGCTAAAATAGCAGATTGAAGAAGGTATGTCATTGCATATCAGATATTTGAAACTATAATGTCCACTTAATGTGAGAGTAAAATAAGTAACTCAAGTGTGCTATCACAGGGGCCTCCCCAGTGGCGCAGTGGTTGAGCGCTGGGTTGTGAAGCTGCCCACAGCCTCTGCAGCGCCGGTTCAATCCCTGGCTGTGCCCCGCCCACCAGAGGAGGAGGGTCCCACATGGCGCGCAGACCTCTCCTGCTGCCCGCTGCTCCCCTCAGCAGTGTACTTTGGTCCTTCTGCCTGCTCTGCTCCCCGCTCTGGCTCTGGTGAATTCTCTCACCCTCCCGTGCTTCTGACTGTACCCAGTGCTTGTATAAATAAACAAACAAACAAACAAATAAATAAATAAATATTTAAAAAAATATAGTATCACAGTATTCTCTGTAAACCTTGCAAATCTCTTTTGTGTCATCATCTGCTGAAAAATATGGTAATTTAAAATAAAATAAAAATGAGAAGAAAGCTGTGCTTGGGTGGATACATTTATATTTACATCCTATCCTAATGATTTTATTTAAGTACTTTGCATTTTACTAATAAGTGCTAAAAATGTTTTTAAGCTCATTTTGAGTCTTACAGATAAATCACAATCATAGCTGAATCATCAAGAAGTGACTACATGGATCTCAGGTATTTAGGACACGCTACAATTGTATTCTGATAAGTACTTTTGTCTAGACTTGACAAGTAAAGCAAAATCACCACTTGGAACCCTCTGTGGGACAAACTCATATTGTTCATTGTAAACACATTCACTGGCTAGATTCATTTGACAATAGATGGAATTATTTGGCTAAGGTAGATTGCCATTTG